CCCTTACCCTCTCAAGCGACCGACTGATGAATTAGGGTTTGTGAAATCGAACCAGAGAATCTCAAACCAGAGAAATCGAGGTCTGTCCATCTCACCAAAGCCTCTGTGAAGCCTGTGAAATCGAATCGAATGTCATCTTGGAGACGGATGTCGTCTTGGAGACGGAAATCGGTGCCAAGAAACTCGCCGATGCAATGAAACTCGGGGAGAAACCACTCACAGGGTCTCGCGATGACAACCTCTTCCACGGCGAGGATGGAGACGATGAACAGGAGGTTGGAGAAAATAGGGTTGGAGTGATGAGGATGGAGAGGAATCTGGAGAAAATAGGGTTTGGAGTGCGAGGATAGAGACGATGAACAGGAGGTTGATTGGAGGGCCTTTTTGGTAATTTTACATCTATAAGCCAAATTTGCCAAACACTAAAAACCAACTTATCAACTTATTGCTTTTTGATACCGTTATAAGCTAATCTAAACATTTTTTACAAAACTCTAGTTTGATACCACATAAGTTAATAAGCACTTTTACAAAAAAGCATAAGTTGTTTTAAATAAGCAATCCCAAACACCCCCTTAATTTTAATGTTTTTAAAAAATTAAAAGATTTTCTATGAAAATGATTAATCCAACCCTTGACAATCATATCCTTCTTCGTCGCTCTCCTCCGTCGCCACCGCCACCACCACCACCACCACCACCCGTCCACCCAGTCAAAGGTTATCAGCTCCGGCTATCCACACCATTACTTTTCTTCCCTGCTCCTCATATTCTTTGCATACAAATACACAACATTCATAAACCAAAACGACGACGCCTTAATTTCTTGCAGCAAAGCACACATTCAAGCTGTTTAAACACCGATTCTTGCTCTCGCCATAGTCACCTTCGAATGAATGGCTAGGGGATTACTTCTTCTCCCACATTACACAGCAAAATCACACTTAATTCGAACTGGGTTATCGTCATCTTCAACCAATTTCACTAAAATTCCTATCTTTCCCACTTCAAGAAATCCGACCTCTGTTCGAGTATTGTGCAGTTGTTCTTCTAATGGCGGATATGAATTCATTGGACTCTCAAAATACAAAGATACTTTCTCCAAGCGTATGGCCATGGCTGGTCTCAAACCCCATCATCGTATTGGTTAGTTTCTCTCTAACCCTCTCAAATATATAGATACACATTGATATGGGTATGGCTTTTGTGGGTTTGTTTTTCTTGTTATGAATTTGATTATGTATCATGTTATAGACCACCATTATTATGCACTTTTTGTAACCTCTTAGTTCACAAATTCAAAGAACTGATATAGATTCTGAAGTGCAAAATTATTTTGTTTGACCTAATTAAGCTGTATTTCTTTTCCTGAGAAAGAGGGAGTAGCAAGAACAGCAGATTTTGAGTATTTGATGGTTTGTAGCAAGCTAACAACTATAAAAATCGATCTTTATGCGTGCTATTGGGTTTGTAGAGAATAGGGTTTAGGTGTAGGGTCTAATACTTAAATCTTGGTGGGTGTGTTTTGCTAAAAAAAGCTGATATTGTGCCTTAGATAATTGGGCATCAACCAAAAGACTTAAAAAATCCTTACAAACGGTGGAATTCGGCTAAAAGGACATCTGTCGACTTTGTGGGCCTTTGATCCACCTTCCAGGTGCACCTACTAAGCAAAAATTGTGGGTCCACCGCTGATTGCATCAAGCTGACATTAGAAAGTCTTGATCTTTATGCATGCTAGTACTGTCTGTGTATATTTTAACGAAGATTTACTATTAGCAAAGAAAGAGAGCTGATTTTTATCTTGTTTCAGCTGTGGGTGTCTCCGGTGGTCCTGATAGTATGGCATTGTGTTTATTAGTTGCTGACTGGAAATCTTGCGGGTTAAATGTTGCTTCCAATGGAAACAATGATATGGTCGATGGGTTATTGGCAATAATAGTTGATCACGGTTTACGTTCAGAAAGTAAAGATGAGGCAGAGATGGTTCAACGTCGAGTCTTGGATATCGGTACTAAATTTTCTCCGGTTTAAGTTGTTTTGCCCTGTCAAAAAGCTAACTTCTTTTACGGGGACAAGAGATGGTTAATGTCGGATCTTTGTAGGAATCAGATGTGAGATTGCCCATTGTAAATGGTCAGAAGGTAGACCAAAATTGGGTCATTTGCAAGAAGCAGCTCGAGATATGAGGTATTGAGGTTCTATATGTCAACTTCTCTATTCTTTTTTGGTAACAGTGGGTGTCTGGCCAGCTTGCACGCATCTGGACTAATCCCATTGGACCCAAGAGATAACATCTAGGAAAATCTCCACTAGCCCTAAGGAGACTCGAACTGGTGACCTATGGGGAGGAGCCCAAAGGCTTAGCCTTTATTGCCCGTTGACATGGCCTTAATTTGAAGATTGCTTTACTTCAAACTATTGACTAGGGCTTTTTGATAGTTTAGTTGTATTCTTTTCAGGTATGAGAAGTTACAACATATTTGCAGTCGGCATCAGATAGGGGTGTTACTAATTGCACATCATGCGGATGATCAGGTTCGGTTTCAATACAATCTTTAACACATGAAGCAGTGCACGTAAATTCATGTGTAACTAAGCTTACTTAAATTAAGATAACATAGAGACCAGGGTTCAAATCTTGCACTTGCGATCCACCAAATTCCATTATGCGAACAAAACGCCTCCTAAAGGTTGAATACTTAAGGCATCACTATAGATTTCTTCAACTTTTTATAAACTGGTGGTCTTTAGTCTTTGCGGAAACCACCGCTTTACTATTGAGGTAGAGTTCAGGTCTGTGTACATCTTACCCATCCCAGACCCCACCTCTAGGTGGAATATACTGGGCTTGTTTTTTTTACTCTAGATTCCTTCAAATAGATGGTTCTAGTTGCTAAAAAATGGACAAAATGCAGGCAGAGCTATTCATCCTTAGACTATCTCGCAATAGTGGTGTGCTTGGACTTGCTGGTATGGCATTAGCCACCCAATTATTTGCTACAAATCCTAGTCTTGATGATGGAAGTTCGAGTAGCATTTTAGTTGTTCGGCCACTTCTGGATTTTTCAAAACAAGATTTGTATAAGGTCGGTTACTGTTTTTGTGCTTACGACTTCCTCTTCTTAGCAAATTCAAACTGTTGCTCAAATGATTGTTTCTCTGATAAAAACTCATATTTCATTGGTAGATATGTGAAGGGGGCAAACAGAATTGGGTGGAAGATCCCACGAATCAAAATACAATATTTGCACGTAATCGGATCAGAATGTCGTTGGGAAACTTGTCATCATGTTAGTTTGATCGTTATAGTTTTATGAAAGTTGCAACATTTTTATATCCGGGAAGTTTTTCAATCTACAATTATCTATCTTTCTATGGTCATCATTACATAAAACTATTGATATCGGTTTGGATCCATAAGATTTCTTTTTTCTTCTATGTCGTTATTGAAGGTTGCATCTGACTTTTTATAAATAGTCAAACACATTCCTGAAAGGCATAAACTATATGCTTTGACAAATGTTGCTACTTTTATTAGACACAGAAAGTACTCCCCCAGTCTCAAAATAAACGTCCATGATAGAAAAGGCACACTGTTTTAGAAATGTGTAATTATTAGACTTCTTTATTTACTAAATGGTAATTTTACTCTTAAATAGAGGGAGTAATGAACTTCTCCATCTCGTAATTAAGGTAGAATTGGGAAGTAGACACTTGGAGATTGTTTGATTGGTTTTCCATCAAGTCCTGTATGGTTAGAAGCTGTCTGTGTGGATTAATATGTCTGTATAGATTGTGAAGGTTTTTGTTTGGGAGGGGCTTTCATAGATGGAAGGAGCGTGTTTTTTTAATTGGGAGAGGCATGTTTGGAAAAACTTGTCTTTCTGCATAAAGCTCCCCTCCTAAAAGCTTACTGAATGAGCTACTTTCTATATATTTAAATCGCTACCAAATAGTCATATATAGCTGACCAAATAAGTTGTCTCTCATTAAGCTCATTAAGCTGCTAACAAACATGCCCTTACTTCTGAAAGTGGATACTTATTCTAGGACAAACTAAAATAGATGGTGGACACTTATCTTGGGACCGAGGGAGTACATATTTCTATGATTTACTAAATATAGAAGGCTCATTTTTCCTTTGGATTATAAAGAACTTCTACATATCCACCTTTTACAGCTATATTCAAGTCTGAATTGCAAGCAATTATATCAGCATGCCGAAGAACTCGTTTCTATGTTGACCAAATTTGCCATACTTTGATAAATCAATCGGTGACTGTTATGCCTGTATGTACCTCTTGGTTTCAATAATTCTTCATAGTATTCGGTTTTTATCGGAAAGGTATTTTAAATATTTATGGGCAAAATACATCAAAATGCAACAACATTTTGTTTAGTTCCCATTTACTTCCAAATTTCCTATTTTGTACCCATTTTGACTGGTGCTGATCTTGTAACATTTGATGACATGGATTCCCTTTTACAAAAGGGTTATGTTGAAGTGGTAGATAAACTTGGCATCCACGTCATCAAATTTTACAAAATCAACAGGTTATATGTCAAAATGGATACAAAATAGGAAAAACTGAAACTTTGTTACATTAAGTAGGAAATTTTGCAACTTTTTTACATCAATTGAGAAAAAAAATTCTTTATTACACTAAATAGAAACTAAGGCAAACTTCGTTGCATTTTGCCTAATATTTAACTAGTAGTTAATACACTCTTTTTAGACTATGCCGATCAAACTGACATCTTTCTAGTTCTCTATTCTTCTATCAAGTAACTTTCTTGCTCATTGGATGCAGCAAGGATACGTGATTATTGATTTAGGAATTCTAAATCCATTGAAAGTCCCGGATATTTGCTTGTCCAAGTTCGTGACGCTCCTATTGCAGGTTCTCCGCAATTAGCATGCACAAGAGAAATACAAAGTTTCATGTTTGGGATTTTCTAATGTTGCCTGACTTGTTATTCTAGTTTATATCACAAAGGCAAAGACCGGTTCGTGGGAGTGCACAAAAATTGCTATTGGATTACTTTCGAACATTCCCGTGCAAGGTGTGTTATTTTTACCGACTTTGACGCCCATTGTATCAATCTATGTTTTCCTATTTTGGCCATGTTTGACAATCATACGGTAGCTTATTTTTTGAGCTTAATGAAATAGCCTCGTTTGGTTTGCCGTAAGCTAACCTTTTTGAAATGCTACTTGAAGTAGTATTTCAATGATCTCCATGGGCTTTTTTCCAATTGTTTTTTCAACATATTATGTTGGTTGATAAACTCAGGGGGTTTTTCACTTTCTTCCAATTATGCCCCTTATATTTTTGAATTGTTTTTTCAACACATCGCTGATAAGGTAGTTGTTATCTAATAAGCTCCATGGGCTTTTTCCCACTTTTCTCCAATTATGCCCCTTATCTTTTTTCAATTAAATTTTCAACATGTCCTTTTTTAGGTCATTTTACATTGTTACATAGTTCATCGGGTGGTTTTTACTGAACATGACTAATTTATTAGCTAACAGCTAGCCTTTTTCAATCAACAACCAACTTATCAGCTAGTTTCGCAAACATAATCTTTTGTATTCTAGATATTGGATTACAATAAGCATATAGTCAAACATTGCAAATCTCATGGGACAGAGGGAGTTTATACTAATATATATATATATATATATATATATATATATATATATATACACGCAGGATCGTGTGAGAATAGGAGTTCAAGTGAGAAGGATAAGAAGGGATCTGGACGCTTGATCACTTTTAATCTAACCCCCAACCCATAGACTGCGCTTCTCACGAGAATTGATCTGGTGTATCTCGGTGCATCTCATTAAGCTTTGATTTTCAATTAGGATCGATTCAGGGGTGGAGATCCCTTGTTACCCTTCTCACCATAACTTCCATTCTCACCGGCACCCAATCCTATATATATGTATAGGGGATGTTTCATTTACAAACCATCTAACTCTAACAAACGATAGTCAATGCTTATATTAGGAAACAACAGAGATATTTATGGATAATTATCAAGATTCATTAATTATGATTGATATATATATGGAAGATGATAAAGTTCATTCATTATGATCAATGACTTTATATTAGGAAACAAAATGAAATCCAATATTTATTAGACGAGGTGGACGGCTAAAATTGGTTTTTTATGGTTTGTTAGAATTGGATGGTTGTAAATGAAACGTCCTCTATGCATAATATATAGGGTTGGGTTCCAGTGAGAAGAGAAGTTATGGTTAGAAGCGTAAGAAGAGGTGTCTACCCTTGGATCAATCCTAATTGAATGTCAACACTAATGAGGTGCACCGAGATGCTCATGATCAATTCCCTTCTAAAGCACAATTCATGGGTGGGCATGAGATTCAAGGTGATCAAAGGTCCAGGTCTCTTCTCACCTTAACTCTCCTTCTCACACGGAAGGAGAGTTAAGGTGAGAAGAGACCTGGATCTTTGATCGCCTTTAATCTCAAACCCACCCATGAATCGCGCTTGATACGGGGATTGATCCGGTGCATCCAAGAGTGGAGATCATTTCTTACGCTTTTCACCTTAACTCCTCCTTCTTACCGGAACCAAACCCTATATATATAATAGGACGATAATCAAATGAGAACCACAAAAAGGTTACAAACCTGTGAGAACCGATATAAAATACCTTTTTACGTTATTCTTTATATCAAAAACTATGATTTAACATATTGTTTCATATATGTTTGTGTTCACCTTATGAAAAAAATTGTATGTGGAACTTTTTTTTTGACTCGTGAAACAAAAAATACACATAAAAAATATTCATATGGTGAAACAATACATGCGAAACTATCATATTATGAAACAAATATATGTGAAGCAATATCTTAAATCCTAGCATTTGATGAAAAAAAATTATGTAAAAATTTATTTTTAAAATCAGTTCTCACAGGGTTTATAACCTTTTTGTGGTTCTCATTTGATTTAACCTCTATATATATATATATATATATATATATATATTCTTTTAGTTAGTTATGCTACCCCACTTGTTATTTTTGCTCACCCTTTATGACAATTTTTGCAGTCTTCTTTTACTGCAGCTGGTTGTTACCTCTGTGCAGCACCTGGTTCCAAAGGCACAAAGCTTCTTATTTGTTGTTCGGTCAATTCCGCTTTACCTATGAAGACAGAATCATTCTATATCGGTTCTTCTAACAAACAGAAAGTCAACATAATAACCGAGCTAGAGCAGATTATAGAAGACGGAAGATCATATTCAAATAAAATGGTACCAAAAGCCTCCGATGTGCCTTTCTTGAATGCAATTTCTTCCGAGTCTATTTTAACTGAAGCTAAACGTCTCAAGATTCTTGGCGAACCAACCCTTATAAGCATTCAATCGTTGCACAAGATTGAACTTGAAAAATTCAAATTCAAAACCGAAACTTTAACCGAAAATGTGTCACAGAAGGTGGTAGAATCAGTTGATGCCAAAGAACTTGGTCAGGGGCAAATTGGACATTTCATGGATAGGTTCGTGGTTTCGTGGAAGTTCATCGGTGAAAATGGTGGTTGCTATTGTGGGTTTGGTCAATATTCGGTTGTGGAGGTGCGCCACATGGTTGATGCTGATTGGCTGGATCTTTCTAGATTAAGTAAGAGTGACAATTTGGAAGATTGTCAACTTGAAGAAGTTCTTAAATGCTCGGATTATGCTAAAATATCGGCACGAAAAGCCCTCCGGTTATTGAAGTCTATTCCCGTTGCTGCAAGAAGAAGCCTGCCGGTATTAGTTGACCCCCGATGGCAGGTTTTGAGCATCCCGGTAAGCATTCTCACTGCTTTGAAATCTATTTTTGTGACCGTAATTAAACTTTTGATTCTTAGTATATTAATTCTACCGTCTAGAAAGAGGCCGGTGTTTTTACTTCATATTTCCTGTTTTTGCTACTCTCTGCGTCCCAAAATAAATGTCTACAATGAAAAAGACACACGTTTTGGAAATGTGTAATTATTACACTTTTTAATTAATTAAATGACAATTTTACTCTTAATAATAGGAGTAATAAGTTTCTCTATCCAATAATTATGGGTAAAATTGGAAGAATATTTATTTATTTTTCAAAGTTGGAAACTTATTTGGAGATAAACTAAGGGTCTGTTTATTAGCAGCTTAACGAGTTTAATGGAAATCACAGCTTATTCGGTCAGTTATACATGACGGTTTGGTAGTGCTTAATGATATAGAGAGTGACTTATTCATTAAGCTTTTAGGGGGAGCTTTATGCAGAAAACCAAGTTTTTTTTTCCAAACATCCCCCTCCTAATTAAAAAACAAACTCCTTCTATCTATGAAAAAACCTCCCAAACAAAAACCTTCTCAATCTATACAGATAGATTAATCTACACAGACAACTTTATCCATACAAGACTTAATGGAAAACCAACCAAACACCCCCTTAGTAGTACTTGTTCCTCTTGCTATAGTAGTTTGTTTCTGTGCATTGTTATCTGTTTCTTGTTTGCACACACTTCGCTGTTTCTTAACATGCCTTCTTGCTGAATGTGCATTTTCGAGCACTTAACGAGTATTGCTATATATTCACAGAGCGTTTGCTTCAGCGTTTGCCGGTGTTTGAAGGCATCTGTTGAATTCAGCCCAAGAGTACCTCTTGGTGGTGGTTACAGTTCATTTTTATGAGCCTCTTGCTAATGGCTTCAACACAGGTAAGATTCCGATGTTACTTTGACTTTTCACCATGGTCAACGGAAATTTGACGGCGAAAGTGAACTTAGAAAAATGTTGACGATTTGCTAAATAGTCAAGTAGAGCCCTAAAAAAATGAGAACGGGGGACCCACCATCAACCATCGATCTGTTTTAATCCAATGGTTGCGAATAAATACGCCTGGTTACATTTTCCATAAATAACTTCAAGATTATAGGGGAGTTTATATTTGAATATGAGCCATCTACGTTTAGATCCAACCGTTGATGGTGGGTTCCTTGGTTCTCCATTTTTTGAGGGTTCTCTCTTGAACCTCGCTCTTGTCAATATATGCCATTTTCAAGAAATCAAGAAACATGACCAGAATGCTAGGGTCGATATGAAATTACTGTCCAACTCAACCTTAAACCATAAACCCTAAACCCTAAACCAGTTCGGTGACATGTCAGCATGGTAGGTGGACCCGTGCCTGCTTTCGGGACCCACATAATTGTTTGACCTGTTTCTTTTTTCTTTTACAGACCATTTGGCAAAATCTTGGTTCTTGATGGAGGAGACCAACAAAACTAGAACGGAAGCTTAATGTGGTGGTGCAGATTACCTTTTTTGCAGTTGATTCTAACATTATTAGATTACTTTTCAAAAGAGCCTTTTATACTGAGAAATAAGGTTTTTATGTATAGTGAAGTTTGATGGTCTGTATCTAGCTGATGTGGGATTTACCAAATAATTTGGTCAGTTTCTTGGATTTGTAAATTTTGATGGAATTCTTGGTCTCCCTTAGAGTCACAAGAATTTGTTGGATTTCGTGGAAAGATTTGGGATTTTTGTTGTATTTGGTTTGTAGGATTTGGAATGAAATTGAAGTTCGATTTTTTATAGATAATTTATAAAAACAAATTATAAATAATTATTAAAAAAATGTAAATTACCTTTTATTTATTGATTTTTACAAAGTGAATATTTTTAACATATGTTAGAACATTAGTACAAACAACTCAGTATAATATCCCGTGAAATACCAGCTAGTCCAATAGGGTTTTTAAATCCAATGTTTGTAGGATTTCATTGAAATCTCGGGATTTGAATTTTATAATTTTCTTTAAACCAAACTCGGGATTAGAATAAAATCCAATTCCAAAGGTGGTGTTTGGTTCACAGATTCCGGACGAACCTGATGGAGTTAAAATGTTGAATTCTTTAATTAAATTTCATTCTTTCGTTTGGTTCAGTCTTTTTTTTTGGGAATGAGTCTTCAAAATCCAATGAATTCCAGAAATAAGGGATTTGAACATTCATTGGCAATAAGGTAGTATTTTGATGTAATAGAATGTTATAATTTTATAATATCAAATATACCCTTAACTTTAATCTGATAAAACAGCCATTGCCATCGCTTATTGATTTCTCTTTGCTCCCTCACTTCTCTAGGTTTCGAAAAAGGGTACTTTGGTCTTTTATCAAAACTTCATTTCAATTTTAAAGCTATACTCCGTGAACCAAATAGCAATTCCTTTCATGAATTCTGTTACATCGGAAAATATTCTGCAAACCAAATTCTAGGAACTATTTCGAACAATATTTAGTTTTAGTGATAACTTTGAAAAACAACAAAAAGTATAAGGGTCAAAACTGTAACAAATACAAAAAGAATCAAATAATGTTGAGAGTGGGATTTGAACCCACGCCCTTTCGGACCAGAACCTTAATCTGGCACCTTAGACCAACTCGGCCATCTCAACTTTTGTTATGATTTCGGATAAAATAATATATATTCGATATTTCTATTATTTCCTTTGCATTTGACTTTGATATCCTTGCCAACCTTGTGCATTGTCCATCAATGGTACGACCGTCGTCACTGAAGTATCATGTATTTATATTATATTATAAATCATTTGATAAAAATTCTTAAAACCTATTTTTTATGTATAAAGTACTGTTTATTAATGCATATTACTTAAAATTTAAGATTACAAGTAAATTGTGCATAAATACAACTTATTAAAACTCCATATTTAAATTCGTGTAACTTACAAGATAAACATTTTATTAAATATAAAATATCTAAAATAAAATTGAGATAAATATTGAGTTCTAACAGAATACTTAATTATTATCTTTATAAAAAAATAGATTATTAAACTTAAATTAAATTATTTCGTTACAAAAAATAAATTATAATTAAAAAAATTGAATTAAAAAAATTACACAAAATAAGTACTTTTAAATGGTTAATTTGATATTAATAGTATATACTCTTTTTAAAATTTTATGATATTTTTATATTTTATTAAAAAATAAAACATTATCGTTTTCTCAAAACCTCATGAAACCATATTATATCGATGTAGATCAAGACTGAAAGAAAACATTTAATTGAGATGTGTCTCGATACATTGCTCAAATACCCTTATAGTATATATATATATATATATATATACACACACACACACACTATATTATAAAACATTTGACAAAAAACTCTTTAAAATCATTTGTTATGTATGAAGCACTATTTATTTATGCATATTATTTAAAATTCAAGATTACAAATAATTTTGCATAAGTACAATTTATTAAAGCTCCATTTTAAATTCATGTAACTAACTGCAGATAAACATAATCAAATACAAGATAAACATTCATTTTAATTATAGAAAATCTAAATTATAATTAAGATAATCACTGAGTTCTAATATAATGTTTAATTATTATCTTTATAAAAAATTATATTATTAAACTAAAAATAAATTACTTTGTTATTAAATCTAAATTAACGTATAATAAAAAAATTGAATTAAAGATGTTATACTAAAAAAGAAGAATTATTAAATAGTTAATTTGATACTAATATCGATTAACTTTTTTCAAATTCTTATGTTATCTTCAAAATTATATTTCATTCAAAAATAAAAACATTATCGTTTTCTCAAAATCACATAMAATCGTATTATATCGATAGAGAAGAATAAAAACTAAACATTAAAATGAAGATTTATTTTGCTGAATTGTATGGGTACCCTTCTAGTATATTATAAAACATTTAACTAAAACTCTTAAAAACCATTTTTTATGGATCCGTCCCTGCTTGGACATATAACAGCCCCCCTTCTGATCATCACCTAGCAAACTAATTTCACTGTTTCTTTCATGATGCTATTTTTAGCAATGGATAAGTTATTCATGAACTTAATTGATCGAAATTACCTTTGACGCTCCGGACATAGGTTTATAAAGCATGCAGGACAGCTGAGCACAACATCGGTTTCCTTTTCGTTCGAATCCACGATTGGTCTTTATCGTCAAGATTTGGATCATATAACTCAGGCTTGACGGAATAGTCTAGCATTGAGATTGCATTGAAAAATAAGGTCATCCCAATCTCAATCGTGTTCAAAACAACAAGAATACGGATTTTCTTGTAAGTCTTGTTGTTGGTTTCGTTTGGTTCTCTTCTATGCGAGGCGAAGGTCCATTAGAGACAGCAGAACACAAATTTGTAAGAAATCAAAACCATTAAAAATCCAAGATCATACATAGAGAATACCAATCTTTTTACACCTAAAACTTCACAACAAAACACTGTGAAGGTAAAAAAAAATCCTAACCTTCGTAGCAACAAAAAAAAACTGTGAAAGTTATATTCACAGTGTTTTGCTCTGAAGTTTTAAGTGTAAAAAGATGGTCTCACGAAAACAAGCTGGTCTCAAGTGATCCCAAGTCTATACTCTATACATATATATACATACTTATGTATATGCACACACACACACACACACATATATATACTAGAAGGGCAGGGACCCATAAAATTTTTCATACGGTGGCACCATATAATTAATATAATATAATATATATCTAAAAATAATTACAAAAAATATGGCTTTTTATTGTACCGATAAACAACTCCTAAACTTTTACCCGACTCGTCTTCATCTTTTGAAAACGGTCAATATATACCCAAAAACAATTACAAAAAGTATGTTGAGAAACAACTCCTAAATTTGTCCTCGGCGTGTCTTCATCTTTTGGAAACGATCGATGACATCTTTGTTTTTGACATTACAAAGGGCTTCCTTTTCTATGGTGCAAATGAGAGCATAATTCAAAAAATCATCACCATTTTGATTACGTAAATCTGTCTTGACAAACTTCATCGCCGAAAAGCATATTTCAACTGTAGCAGTTGCAACAGGCAAAACCAGTGTTAGTTTCAATAACCGATAGACTAAAGGATGAATAAGATGCTTTCTTGTTGCCACCATTAATCTGGCGAGGTCGGCAATACCGTTTAAGTTGACAAATATGACATCATTATAAACAGAATGATAGTAGATATCAAGTTCGTGCTCAAGAATGATCCTTTCCTTGTCATCAAAATTTCGGGGATACATCTGACTCAACTTCAATAGGCTTGATTTGTTAAACTGAGAAAACGAATTGCATGGATTCAAAGCTGCCATATTTTGAAGCAAGTCGGTGCTTATCTCACCAAAACGATCACCAAACTCTCGGATCTGCATATCCAAAATAGTGTTGAATATATCATAGTTATAATAATGTTGATTGGTAATGTTCATTCTTTTCCTTGAATTTCTTGTATTAACATAAGCTTCAGCCATATCCAACTTCACGATCTTATATTTATCACAAAAAGAGTAGCATTTCTTAAAAACTTGATCAAACCTATTTTCCCTCAACATTTGTAATTGACCTTTGGTTGTACCTATCAAATCAATAGCTTCCAAAATGTCTTCATCTTTCCTTTGAAGAGCTTGAGACAATGAATTTGTTAATCCTAAGATCGTTGATATCAAGTGCATATAAAACACAAATTCAAATGTCTTTAAGTATGATAAAAGACCTCTTGCTTGAAGCCGACTAGCTCCATTATCACCATCATCTTCAACATATTCAAGCACCTGTATAACCTCTGGAAACAAAGCAATCAAACTCACGATTGCTTTAAGATGAAAATTCCATCGTGTATCTCCAGCTTGGACAAGGGAAATCTCTTGGTTTAACCCCTTACCAGTCTCAATTTCATTATTTCCAATTTCTTCTTGAATTCTCTTTTTGTGACTTTCTCGTATCATATCTTTCCGTTTGCAATAAGAGTTTACAACCAACGCAATCAAATCAAAGAAGTCCTTAATACCTTTGTGTTTTTTTGCAACCGCCACAACCACTAACTGAAATTGATGGGCAAAACAATGTATATAAAATGTCGAGTCATTATCACTCAATATCAAAGTTTTCAACCCATTGAACTTACCACTCATGTTGCTAGCACTGTCATAACCTTGTCCTCTTACCTATTTTAAAGATAAATTAAGCTATTTAGCCAAATATTCAATGATATAATTAAGACTTAAAATCAAATAAATTATTAAGAAACATTTTTACCTTTGTGAAACTTAATCCATGTTTTGCAAATAAAGCATCCAAGGCAGATTTAAGACTTACAACAGATGTATCCATGACATGAATAATGCCAACAAATCTTTCTTGAACAACTCCGACTTTGTCAACAAACCTCAAAACCACGACTATTTGTTCTTTTCTAGAGACATCACTAGACTCATCCACCAACAAAGCAAATACATCATCACCAATTTCCCCAATAACGTTTTTCAACACCACTTCTCCAAAGCAAGTAACAAGATCTTTTTGAATCTTTGGAGATGTCAATTGATTGTTCTTCGGGGCATTTTTTAATATAACCTTTTCAATCTCCCCATTTGTTCTTCCGATTAACTTTAAAGTCCCCATGAAAAGCCCTTTGTACATAGATCATTACTCGCGTCGCTCAATCGCTCACTGCTCGCACAAGGTCGCATCGCACAAGGCCAGCCTGCCAGGTATAGTCTGTATACGATTTAGGGCTTTAGGAAATTAGGCCCTAAAGGCTTTAAGCCTTAAACATTGTTGCTATTTTTTGGGCTTACTCATCTTATCAGCTTTTGGAGATGTTAATAAGTTAATTGGGCTTTGCATTTTATTAATTTGGACAATTGGGCTTTATTTTGTTTGGGTTTTAATTGCTATGTTTGAATTTTAGGAAAAATACAGTAGCACCTTTCAAAATAATAAGGTAGCACCTTCCAAAATAATACGGTAGCACCGTTAACAAACCTAAAAAATTTACCCTTCGGTGGCAAAATAATACGATGGCACGTGCCACCCATACCGCTACTACAAGTCCGCCCTTGTAGAAGGGTACTCACGCAATGCAGCGAGATACATCTTGATTTTAGTATTTAATTTTATTTTTTATCTCAGTCGATGTTATAATATGGTCTTATGTGATTTTGAAAAAGCGACGATGTTTTTATTTTTGAATAAAATATAAA